AAGGTTAAAACAACTCAAATGTCCATCCGCAGGTGAATGATAAACAAAATGTGGTATATATATACAATGGAATATTATTCAGTCATAAAAAGGAATGAAGTACTGATACATGGTAAAACATGGATGAATTCTGAAAACTCTAAGTGCAAGAAATCAGACACAAAAGGTCGCACATTGTATGATTCCTTTTATATGAAATACCCAGAATAGGTAAACCCATAGGGACAGAAAGTAAATTAGTGGTTGCCAGGGGCTAGAGGGATAAGAAGTGAATACTAATGGATATAGGATTTCTTTTAGGGGTAATGAAAATGTTCTGGAATTAGACAGTGGTGATGGCTGTACAACTTTGTGAATATACTAAAAACCACTGAATTGTACACTTTGTACACTTTTATAGTATTTAAATTTTATCTCAATTCAAAAAGATCTAATCTTTAGCATAAAAATTTAGAACAGGTTGCCTCTGGACGTCAGGGATGACGACTGAGTTGGAAAGAGCATGAGAGAGCTCTCTGGAGTGACAGTAATTAATGTTCAGTATCTTGCTGGGGTTTTGGGTTACACAGACGTATGCATATATCAATCAGCAAATACAGACTTAAGATTTGTTCACGTTACTGTATACAAATTTCACCTCAAAATAACATAATTGTATACAAATATTGAATGCAGTTAATCACGTGTAATTTAAAGTATGTAGTGGGATGCATACTGATATCTGCAATGTACTCTGAAATGTACCAAAATTAAGATGGATTAACAAATGGATAGATAAGTGATAACACAAGTTTAGTAAAAGTGAAATCTTGGTGTTGGGTATATAGGTACACACTGTAAAATTCTCTCAATATGTTGTCTGATTGAAATTTTTCAAAGTAATATACTGAGGAAAAAGTCAACGAACATGAAAAAAAAATCCAAAAGTCATGAGTACTACGCAGAGATTTAGAATACTGTTGTAAGATAGAATGACTGAATGACAATATTAGAGTGTCTTCTCTTGAAGACATGATATTTAAGCAAAGAAATGAAAGGCTACATGGAGCCATCTATGTGAAGCTATCAGCTAAGGTATTCCAGGCTTCCCTTCTCTCCCCTGTCTCCAAAAAATCTTATTCTAAGGCCCTGAAGTTTGGTGTGTTCAAGAAAGCCAGCGTGACTGAAGGATAGGCAAGGAAATGAGATTGGAGAGAAAGGCAGGTGGCAAATCATTTGGATTTGTAGTCAGGGTAAGGAATTTTGATTTTACCTAAGTGCAACAGAAAACCACTAAACCAGGGTTTAAAGCAGGGGTGGGGTAGGATGTGATGGGATGTGTCCTTACCAGTTTTAAAATATCACACTGACGGCTATGTGAAGAACAGCTTTTAACTGTTTAAGAAAAGAAGCAGAGAAACTATTGTTCCTGGAAGGACAATGGTAGTTTAGAGGAGAGTGCTAGGAGTAAAGATGGTTAAGTAGTGAATATGGGAGATATTCTGAATGAAGAACTGACTGTATCTACTGATGGAGTATACTAGAATAACAAGGAAAAAGACACCAGGATAGATTTTAGGTTTCAGCTTTAGCCACTGAGAGAATGGAGTGACATTTACTGAGATGTAGAAACTGTGGGAGAAGGAGTTGTGGAGAATGGTGGACCTGAGGATCCAAAAAATTTTATTTAAATTGGGCATGATCTGTGATTGTGAGAAAGACTAGCAAAAGGAAAGAAAAGAATCAGAATAATCTGCAAGTTGTTAAAGAACAGGTTTCAGATTTACTATTTCTTTTCCTTTTAAGAATCAGTTTTGGCTTGATTGTATTAAGGACCTTTGATCCCATGAAAAGATCAACCTTTAATGCAAATCAAGCTCCCTGATTACCGTTGTCTATCTCTGGGGTTAAAGAGAAACTGGGGATCAATAGCCCTGTATCTCTAAACCTAGAGAGGTCAAAGGGAAAAATCAGGAGTGAGAATGAGGGAGACAAGGAAGACCAAAAAATAAGTACACAGAGGTTACATATTAAGTCTTAACTGTCTCTCACCCCATCAAGGATAAAAGGGTGTTTCTTTAATTCCACATATAACATTCTTAAGTGCCTTACAGTATTTTACACAAAGTGGTGACTCAAATTTTAGCTCTCATTCTCTAATCTCATTAGTTTAGCCAAAGTATAATGAAAAATCCATGGTCTTTGGAGCTAAATGAACCTAAATTTAAAGCAGGCCCACCACTCAGTAGCTCTGTGACCTTGAGCAAATTACTTACCATATCTAATCCTTAGTTTCTTAAATGTAAATGAAAATAATTAACCCAAGAATTAGCATGAGAAATAACATTCACAAAGCACCCACTACATGGAAGAAATGCTCCGTAAACAAGAGCCACTGTTATGTAAAAGACACCTAATTCGTCACTGCTAAGGCAGTCAGTTTCCTCCTTGGGCAGCAAAGACTCCTGTTTCCAGAAGAGAAGTAGAGACACGAGAGGAGAAAATCACATAAAAAATAATCAATTTCATTTTCACCATGTAACACAGAAAGAAGTAAAACATGAATAAGTATGACACGTGGTCAATCCACAACTTACAAATAGATAGGTTCAAAGGTTTAGTTATAATTCAGTTGTTTAGAACTAGGAACATATTTTCCCATGGAATCATTGTTGAATTCACCTCTTAGACAAACTCACAAAGGTCCATTGAAATCATAATGTAGTTTAAATGTGATGTTCTCAATAAAATTAGTAGAAAACAAAACTGATGAATCACGAAACAATACCGAAAACCAAGGGATTCTAATAATATGTAATTTCATTTATTTTAGAAGCTAGCACTGAGGGAAAAGATTTTATGGGACGTTTCCGTGGTGATTCAAGAAAGTGTTTTCAGGGAAATTCCAAAAGCTTTATAAAACTGATGACCCTAGTTATTATGTTTTATTTCACCTCGAATTTTATGGCTTCCCTTTCTTTCAGCATAAGCAAAACACAAGCACTCTTATACTTACTTGCCATGATTGCCATCATTTATTCCAGAAATGAGAAGGAGTAATTAGGGAAGAATAAGAAGAAAGATAGGGAAGAGGAAGAAGTCATAAAAGATGTGCCCAAATAGAAAGAAAAGAACCTTAGATTGAATTAGGTAAATTCAGTAGTAAAACACTGGAAAGCGGGTGAAGCACAGAATTAAAATATTAAGGGAGGAAAGCCAAGTGATGAGAACTGGTCAGAGTATATCATCATTAACTGGTTGTTTTAAAGGTCACAGATTATTTTTAAAAATTTAGAAGACACGGCATGAAAGCAAGCAAGGAATCTGCAGCCTGCCCTTTACACAAAGGAAATGCTCAAGAGTTGAAGATTCATAATTCACAATGTGGCATGCCAATGTTATTCAGGATTTTCTCCTAATCCCTTCTTATTTCTCCAAATTCCTCCAAATATTCTGTCCTTTTTATGTAGATACTATCGTGAGAATAGTATTATTATATCCTACTATGTAGATAAAACACTACTATCAAACAAGAACTAGGAAAAACGACTTCTGAAATCTAAAAGTATGCAATAGAATACAATGAAATTATTTTAGGAAAGTCTCCTCAAAAGCTAGCAGGTATGCCACATGCCTCTTAGGCTATCAGGAATGCCAGTGGTTTCAAACCACAGAAACTTTTGATTTTCTCAGAGAAATAAACCACAAATCAGTTCCATGTACTCCAAGTTTTCAGCAATCTAGCAAATCTTCCTGGGAAGTACTGACACGCTTTTTGAAAACACTGAGGGAGTCTGAAGAAATGATTAATGAAGAGATGTTGTAGTCAGATAAAGTAAGATTTTCTAGTGCCTGATCTTAAAAGTCCATGACCTATATCGGTAAGAAAAATGTTTGCAAAACAAATAAACAACAAAACACACTTAACAATGAGCCAAACCCAAATAATTTAGCCAATCCAACAGAGGTGCAACAAGCCAAACAGCTTTTAAAATAACTAAAGAACTGCTAAGCTAGACTGCTCCTACTGCACAGAATATATTTAGTCATGCAAGAGGTTACTTTCAGACCAATAAGATATTTCTACATATCACAACTATGCAAACTGATAAATCAAATGCTCTCCAAATGTATGAAATAACTCTGAATAATCAATCTTAATGAGAAAACAGGACTAAAGAAATGTTAATGTAGCATGCAGAAAAGCTTGGCCCTATCCTAGTGTGGGAATGCAAGAAGATGCTGTGAATTCCTGATTACCAAGCATTTTCTAATTTCTCTCACATATCCACAAATTTCAGTCAAATGTTTTACAAAAACTAACTTGATTAACAAAATTGTAAAGTTGTTTAATAGCAGTGCTAACCTATGATAACAGTATGCCCTCATGTATTTTCCTAATTAGCAGATATTGAAAATACAACAGTTGTCATGAGCACCAGGAATACTTTCGAAAATAAAAAGTTGAGAAGCACTGCCCCAGGACAATTACACCTAAAACAGTCAAGTAAACTGTCTTTAAAATGTCCTTCACTTTACCTTTGATTCCAATTTAGAATATTCAGTTCTAATTTCTCACATTCTATGTTCTCTTTCCTAGTAAGATTACTAAATTGATATTTAAATCTTAGGAAAAGGTGAAAACTTGAAGAGCCTTGTCAAATATGATATCTTCATCTTAATCATGTATGTCCTTCATTTTAATAAGATGTATTCAACTATGTATATCTAAATTTATATTACATCCAATCTCAAGAATTCGTAAGACAATTCCTTCCTTTAATTAGCCAGTGATTTCATCTTACAAAAAAGCTATCCTTCAGGTCAAATTACTTTTTAAAGTTCACTTTAATAAGGGAGTATGGTAATTCAACTGATAAATTCTTCCAGAGCAAGAAGTAATCAGAAAGCTAAAACTATTAAAAAATGACTTGCTCTATAGGAATTGCTTATTACATGTTTACTCAACCATATCTGCTGAAAGACATAGAAACTCTACCAAAGTTAATTTAAGAACTTACCAATTTCCCTTGCAATTCTGACAGCTTCATCTGCATCCTGTAAAAGCAGGAAATGAGACCCAACATTAATCCCATCAGCCATTGCACAATGTCTTTAGGGCAGTCATATATTGCACTACTGTCTCCTCTGATTCATTTAATGTTCAATTTTACAACCTTCTAACTCTTTTCATTCAGAGAAATGTAAAATTAATACCATAAGTGGAATGTAAATTCTACCTCATCATTATTATATTAAGAAACTCAAAGCAGTTTGAAATGAGCTGGCAGGAAGCACTACCAGAATTGCCAAATGATTTGGTGCAGTTGCTGGAATTTAACGGCAGAATTTAGATCTTTACAATCAATACTGAATCATAAATTAGATCATTAAAGCTTGTCCACAGCCAGCTTGTTTCTGTCTCTCTGATATTTATATGTCATGTTTTCCTAGATTCTGTCAGCAGGGGGAGTTGATTCTCTATTGTTTGGGAGGAGCTCAACAGATTTTCCAGAAATAAAAAAGTAAATCTCCAGTATCTACAGGAATTGCCAATTGTTCCCCCCCAGAAAATTCCTTTAGTGATCTCCATTACTTTTCCTTTTTTATTTCATCCTTTTTTTGTATACATATTTTATCTTTACCAGTTATATCTTGTTACATAAATTAAAACCTTAAATTCAACAAACCAACTAGCAGGGAGGCAACTTTCAAAAAGCCAAGGAAAGAAAATGCGTTCCAAAACAGTGCAAGGTAAGAGTTTATGAATGTAAGGATTAAGTATCACTAAATATCAACCAATGCCACTGAAAGGACAAAAATTTCCTTTGCATCCAAACCATTTCATTGATTAGTAACTCTCACCTAACACACTCAAAATAGAACACTCCCGATACATTTCCCCATAAAGAGAAAGCTGAAAAGGTATTAAACCCAAACCCCCTACTAAATTCAACTTTTTTTATAATTCAGTGACATAAACAAAACTATCACAAGGAATGACAATAACGTTTTGAGACTACTAGCTGGTAAGAATGCCTGAATTTTTAGAAAATAACTTTAAAATGTTAAAGTGAAAGCTGGTATTTCTCAAGCTTTTAAGCTAACACTTTAAAGTAGAGTAACCATGTCAGAATCCTCCCCCAAAAGCGAGGTGGGGGATGTTTATAACTGCTTCATTTATGTCTAATAAAAAAAAATCTTCCTTAAAAGTCTTCAGTACCTAATAACATCCCCTGAATAAGGAGGTTGGCAGGGGAAGTTGTCAGAAAAATTTAATTTCCTTTCATTAGCCAGTCTGCTCCACAAATAGGTGCTTGTTAAGTTCAAAGCGGTCCTGAGAGCGACATCAGTTCTAAGTCTCTTTTTTTTTTACTCCAAGCAGTCACATCTGCTAATGAGATTTTCCAAATAACAATTGTTTTCAAGTCAGAGATAAATCTATACCTCCCACTCTACCCCCGAAAAATCAAGGTTTACTGCTTTATTACACCTTGCTGTTTCGCTGACCCTAGATTCTCCAAATTTTAGCTTAAAGGGATAAAAATCCATGAAAAGGGTCATTTAAGAATGTTAGTGGTTTCCACACATTGAGTTTGAAGATTCTTTGTTCAAGCCAGTGACAGTTATTGGAGAATACTTCCCCTTAATAGCCTCTCTGTCAGGAAGTGTTAAACCTGCCAAATGCAGACAATTAGTGCCTCGAGAACAAAATACAGGAAGAGTGCTGGCTGATGGAGACTGGATTATAAGAGGCCTAGAAGGAAACTTTCAACATGTCTTTTCTTTCAAACATGTAATAGTATATTTGCAAAAGACATTCTAGAGAAAACAAACTGCTATCTAAAAAGTTCATTACCTTGAGACAACTAACACGCAAATGTTAAAAAATAATTCATAGAATTCATTAGTCATATTTTGTCATTTATTAATATATACACATAGTATGGATGTATGTGTGTGTGTACAGAGAGAGAGATCTACACAAAGCAAAACTTCTAAAAATTCTTTAACTGCCACAAATCCAACACTTTTATAAACTGCCACAAAACAATCTTGTCTTTTAACTAATCAATATGCTTTAAGTTTCCTCACAGTGAAAATCAAATTCTACTAAATGAACTTCCAAGTAAAATCAAACTGCCTTAAAAATTAATTTTTCACTTGTCACTCATTCATCCCAAAATATTTTATTGAGGACATATTATGTACCAAACATTAAAAAAAAACTCCACTGTCAGTTTCAACAATAAACTATTAAATAAAGTCAGCTCCAATATGTTCTTTCAGCACATTTACTTTTCTTATCAGGCTACATAAAACTACTTTTAACAGAGATGAAAATCCCCAAATAGCTCCAAATTCAGTGGCACTGACACATCACACAGTACAACTTCCCTATAAGGATACAGGTAGAAAAAAAATTTTAATAAAAAACTTGAATCAACAAGAAAAAGACCAACAATCATCAGGAAAAATGGGCAAAGGATTAAATAAGTAGTTTACATAAAATGAAATCCAAAAGCATAATATATAAAATATGTTCAACTTGAGTCATAATTACAGACATACAAATGAAAACAATGAGACACCACGTTTCATCTGCCAAAGTCTGATGATAGCCAGGAGAGATGACCTTAAGGTAAACAGGCACTGCTCTTACTACCAGTGCAGTACAAAATGGTGCAATCTTTTTAAAAAGATATTGTCAGTATCTATCAAAGGTTTGAGGACATACACCTTTCGACCCAGTGATTTCATTTTTCGGGAGCTATCATACAGATATACTCACATGCATGAACACAGAGAAATATATAAAGAAATTTATTATTTTCAATTTGTTGGTGTTTTGATAAGCAAAGAAAATCAGAAAAACAAGATTAAAGGTCATCAATAACAAACTGGTACCATAAACAGTACATGCATAAAATGAAATATTACATAGCCTTATTTTAAAAAAATGAGGTTGATCCATTTGTTCTTATTCATTCATTTACTCATTAATTCAATAAATATTTACCAGGCAATACTACATGAAATAGTTTTTGTCCTCATGGAACTGTATAGCCTAATGAGAGAAACAGAAAAGAGAGTAAAATCAATTGAAAATTGAAATAAATGATACATGGAACCAAATAGTACTGAGGGAGAGAAAGCGAGAGAACCTGTTTTAGATACACAGCTCAGACAGGGTCCTTCTGAAGTAAGATTTAAACTAAAACCTGAAGATACATCAGCCAGCTGCCATGGGAAGATTAGGGAGAAAGGATTCCAGACAGAAAGAACATGTACAAATCCTTAGATTAGGAAGGCAATTAAATGTTCTAGAAGCTGAAAGGAGGTCCATGAAGCGAGAAGTGAAGCACAGTAAGGAAGTGGCAGGAAAGGAGAGGATGGAGGACGAGCAGAAGGCATGGCCTGTCCTGGAAGGACCTGCCAGGATTCAGTACGGAGTTCCAAATGCCACGGCTCTATGCAGGGGAATGACGACTTAGATTTAGGTTTTAAGAAGATAACTCTGGGGGCTGGCCCATAGCCGAGTGGTTGAGTTCGCACTCTGCTCCTGCAGCCCAGGATTTGCTGGTTCGGATCTTGAGCACAGACCCAGCACGACTCCTCAAGCCACGCTGAGGTGGCATCCCACATAGCACAATTAGAAGGACCTACAACTAGAATATACAGCTATATACTGGGGGACTTTGGGGAGAAGAAGAAGGAAAAAAAAAGATTGGCAACAGTTGTTAGCTCAGGTGCCAATCTTTAAAAAAAAAATTAAATCAGCCACACTTGAAGGTATTATTCAAATTATCTAATTAATGACTTCCAGGGCATTAAATGTTACCAAAACAAACTAGTATTCCCTAAATCTGCTTAAACGCTTCATGACTCCCCATGCCTTAGAACCAAATTTAAACTCCTTAACTTAGTTTCAATACTTGATCCTGCCTGCCTGAGCCACCAGTCTCATCCCCAGTCCCTCTCCAACTCGCACCAAATGAACAGTTTGGAGAGAGGTGAGAGGGATACGGAGAGTCCAGTTGGGAAGCAGTAGTCTAGGTAAGAGAAAAATTACCAGTTTCTCTTATACTCAGGGGTGCACGTTTCAGGTTTCACCTAAATGTCACTTGCTTTAGAAAGCCTTTCCAGTTCTCCTATACCAGGCTAGGTGCCATTGCTGTGTGATCACATTACACTTTGTCCTTCCATTATGACAGCCCCTGTCACACTTAATCTCCATGAAAGCAATGACTAGCTCTAGTCTTTCTCTCTACTGAATCTCCACAGCTTAGCAAATTGACACAATCAACACATTATTTGTTAAATGAATAAACAAGTATCCATCAGCTTCCTAGAAATAAGTCTGTTATGATAAGACAATCTCTTAAATGATCTAGTCCAACACCAACAGAACTACTCATCTCCAGAGCATCGGTGTTATAAGTGGGTAAACTCATATCCAAGGACATGTAGTGGCTTCTTCAAATTCACATATCTAAGTGATATACAGTAAGGAAGTGCCACACAGTAGTTCAGAGCAGGGGCTCAAGAACCAGATAGGCTTGGGTTTTGCTTCAGTTTGAAACAAAGTACACTCCATGAAACATTGTTGACGTTGGGCAACATCAAGCCAAATATATACCCTTGTCTCGAAATTCTCACTGAGGCACTTTTTCACTGCATCATGCAACTTCAAAATGTTGAAACTAGGATTTCACAAAACCTATTCTTAAAAATATATATATACAGTGCTACCGAAACTGTAATTTTAAAATAAATATTTCATTAATTTAAAAAATCAAACTTTATATGGTACTAAGTTTTCAAATTAAAGGGCCACAAGTTTAAGTTATACTAAAAAGTAATAAAAAGGAGGTTCATTTCAATTTAAAGATATTAAACTTCAATAAAAATGTAAAATAAAAATTACATTTTATTTGACCAAACACGCTTTGCTCTTTATTTATGTAAAACAAATCTCTTTTAAGCAAAACATCATTACTTCTTCACAAATCCAACTTAGCAATATTTGAAGGAAAAGCAGAACTGATTCTTCTTTT